TCTATAACCACTAGGGAGAGTCTCGAAGATACAGCACAAGTAATTTCCGTAATATACCCCAAGATTTTGGGTGAAAACAATATCAAAATGCAATGAAGTGGCTGCACTATGAATGTACCTTTCGAAAAGTTGTATATCTCCACATCCTATAATGAGGAGGATCATGATCATAAAATTCGACAATCCTAACAAGCTTATGATATTTCCCCTTATTATCATACCCAAATCCACAAGCAAGGTCCAATCCTAACAAGCTTAATGGAATTCAGCCTCCTAGCAAACTGTTGATACCGTGCTGCAAACCTCTTGAGACAGTGAGAAGTTTAGAGGTGAATGTGTATAGCAGCTATATGATGGTTTGTTCGATTAGACACAACAACCCAACAGATGAACCAAGGAGATGTTAAAAGGAGTAAGGATCTGAGAGATGGCGAAGAACAATTGAGGGGCTGGTACTGGTGGCATCTTTAACAGATCTTTTGGATCCAAGTCTTTGTGGTCAAATTTCAGAAAACGATAACTTGCTCCAGAAAGCTTGTGAAAGAGCTGATAGTAAGGACTAGTCATGAACTGAACAAACGAGCTGAGGATCACTGCTCTGAGCCACCTACGACATACTGCGCTAGCTTTTCCTCGCGTAGGTTTTTGTTTGCCATATGTGTGCAACTAACTTACTTGGTCATAAGTTTGTGTATGCAAACGCTGGAGGTCTGACTCTATTGAATGAGGGGGTTACTTTGTTTTTTTTTACAGAGGAAAGGATACAACAAGAAGGAAAACATTAATAGCAGAAGGCAGAGCCACAAATTGAGTGTTGGGAGGTCGAGAATTGAAAAAACTACATTGTCTAAGTACAACATAATTAACAAAATTATCGATAGAAAATTATTATGTGTAAATCATACAATTTTTAACATACTCATACTAATATCCAAATAATAACTCACACTAAAATCGAGATGAGATCAATGAACTGACATATTATTAATTTATATTTTTGCATGTTCATAAGCATGATCAAATAAAAAGTAAATGGATGGAAATGTTTTAAACTTTTTAATTTGACAAATAACCATTTAAACATGTCCTAAAAAACTAAATATTCATTGTGGAAAGAAAGACCACAATTAAAAAAGTTAATGCAAAAAATTGTTTATTGACACTTGCCAACATTGGACAACCAAAATGACCTAGCTTCACACTGATAACAAGCAATGCTCTTCTTCTCATCTATGGCTCTTAGAGATATAGTTTTCTTTCCTTTGGAATATCAAGCAAACTAAAAAGAGTTTTGCAGCTTTTTTAGCGTCATATTCACCCTATTCCATATAGTAATTAGTTGAGTTCCCGAATAGGTTCGTACATTTTAGTAATAGATACTTTTAGGCATAGTGTAGCACTCGCAAGCTGTTTGGCTAGAGTGCTAATGCAAAAAAATCATAATGCATCCTAACATTCATTTTTTTAGTTGATGAATTTTTAAGTTAGTAGACATTATTTTTTGAAAATTTTGAAGAACAAAATTTATTTCGATTTTTCCCCAATTCAACAAGCACAAACTATTAAGGAACTGTTTAGTATCATTTTCCGTTTTTGTTTTTTGTTTATACATGTGGAAACAGACACTGAAAGCATGTTTAGTTATATTTTCATCTCTTGTTGTGGCAACAAAAATTGATAGCACAATATAAATTAGTTTAAAACAGTGAAACAACTTTAAGTAGCTTCTTTGGAGTTTCCAAAAGTAGTTTCTTGTGAAATCATATCAATTGTTGTGATAATTTTATTCAAAATAGTCTATGACCAAATCTAACTAAACTCACTTTTTATATATTTCCCCTCTACATTTTTCCATAACTCATTCCCGAGATCTTATTGCCAATATTATTTTCATATCTTTTTTCTCTCTCTTTTCTCATAACTCGTCATACCACTTATTCCTCCCATTATTTTCCTACTTTCGTATTCATTTCAATGGCTTAATGTGGTAACTAAACACAAAAAATTATCAACTTTCATGATTGCTCATAATTATCAACTAAACATGTTTTTATTTTTCATTTTCATGGTGTTATGTTTGTACCTCTGTGTTCACAACAACACTACCACCACACCGGCAAACAAACCATTGTAAATAGGATCTAAGGTTGTTTAATCCACCATCATCTCAAATAAGTTGTTTGTTGCTCATACGGGCCAATTGTCATTTCACTAAACTTTAGATGGTTTGTAATGTGCTTTACCCTCCAGTTAAGGCAAACTTTTTACTATTTTTTTAATAGTAATAGTTTGTATTGTTATTGAATGAGTGGAAGCAGAACAAACAAAGATCTATAAAAAATTAGTGTGTAGCCGAGATACAATCTGAGCCCCCACTCCCTCTTGAGCAAAGCCACGACATCTGTATCCAACTCTCCCAACAAAGAAAAAGAAAAGGGCAGGAAACTGTAACCAGCCGCCATACACAAGTCTCGATACTTGGCACACTTTCACTGAGCAGCATCAGCAACAACTCGGCCAGGCACATAACCAGCCATCCCATTCTGAGTCAGAGGTGAAGATCCATTCAAATCTACTCACACATCTCGCCCCCTGTCCCAGGAATATAGCAGCAAATCCGCAGGACGAAGGGGTCTGCCATGCCCATTAACCAAACCGATATCAATCACCTTACCAGCAGAAATCCCCGACCTATAACAGATATCCAATAAGGTGTCACGAACGAGGTTGTCCCGATGCTTAATTCTCACAGAACCAGCACATGATACATTTCAAGTACTACAACTTTTATGAGGGTTTTGAGGACAATTTTAGATTTTTTTTATGATAAGCAAAAAATTTATTTCACCAACAGCCCTAACCAAATAGCATTAACTACAATTGTCCAACCACAGTATAAGCTTCCTATAGTTCTTAACCACTTGAAAACATTACAATCTAACTACCAACGCAGACAAAAGAAAGAGGCAAAAGAAAGAAACATAGAGCATTTGGAGTCCAGATTTCAGGACTTGAACCAGAGCTCTTATACATTCACATCAGCAGCCAACTTATTATCTCCCGAGTATTCTTTCATTCCAACTCACTCTACATCTTCCCCAACAGTTCTCTTACTATGATATTTTCCCATACAACTTTTTGTACCTCTCCCTCCAAATTTCACTAATCATCATATTCCACACCAATCTTCCCACCTTACAACTAAAATGCTTTGAAACATGCCACTGCATTCACCATACCATCCTGTCATTTTGCATCCCACCTGTAGTGCCACGAAGTTCCAGGAAACATTTTACGTATCACCTTCTACACAAAAATACAATTGAAGAATATATGGTCTCGAGATTTTGGAAATGTCAAGCAAAGTGGACAAGTGAGATCAACATCCTGTATCAAATTGTATATTGTCTAATGTTTGGATTCTCCCACACTTCTTGATAGAATATTTAGGCATAACTTCTCCTTGCCAAAGAACACCTTCCATGGATTGTTGTTAGTGCCCTCCACATGAGATCTAGCTTTAAATCCTTATTCCATGCTCATGATCCAAAAATATTAACCTGCCAGAAGGTTACATTTCTGAGCTTATATTCCTTAACCTAGACATTCCACATGAAATTATGATATGCCAGATTAGACCAGATATGCCTGATGAAATAGTTTGTAGTCCAACTCTTTGGATCATTAAAGCCAAGTCGTCCTTCTTCTTTTGGTAAGGCTGTCATATTACAAACAACCTTTGCTCTCTTGTTTCAATTGTCTGATGACCATAAAAAATCAGACCATAATCTTTACACGGCTTTGACAACTATCCCTGGTAATTGGAAAATACTAATCTAGAATTGAGCTATACTAGCTAGCACAGAGATAACCAATTGGACCTTCCCTGTATATAGAGCATTTTTTCTTTCCAATCATATATATGTTTTGTGATCCTATCCACCATAACCTTACAATTTTTGGAGCCAAGTTTGCCAGCTATTAGTGGTATTCCAAGGTATCTAACAACTTAGTATCCTTTTTAAAACCTGATTGATCTATTATTGCTTGCCTTCCTTCCTCAGATAACCCAACACATAAAACTTAACTCTTTATCGGGACTACATTTTGGCCCATAAACCTTATAAAATTGATAAAATACTACAGCTATTTATTGCACCCCCACCCTTGAGCCTTTACAGAATATTACAAATTGTCTGCAAAAGCCCAGTGACTAAGCCATATTCTTTTACATTGTGGATGGTAAGAGAGGTAACCTGCATCCAATGCAACCAAAATCGAGATTTTACGTAATCGAAAACTGAAGTAAAATCGAAACCGTAGATTAAAATCGTAAGATATTAAGGTTCATATTAAAACTATCACTTAAATATCGAAAATTATTAATAATGCATATCCTAAATAACAACCACCCACATATCACTTAAATTATTCTCAAGATAAGTTTGTCTCCTTAATAGACACAAATAAAACCTTGGATTTGCTCTTGTACATAGAGTAAACAAAAAAAAAAAAACACAACCTAAAACCACATAGAAATCACTTAATCTAGTTAATAGTTAAGAGTAGTAAATCATATAAGATCGTTGGGATCAACATTAACATCTAAATCCTCAACATCTTCATCATCACCATCACCCTCACTTTCATCCTTATATAATCCTTGTATTTTGTTGGTAGAGATAGGAAGGTTATTATTATTTTTATTAATTTTTAATAGTTGAGGTGGAAATTTTAATTTTAATTTTTTTAATTTTTTAATTGCCACGTCATGCATTTAACGGTCAACTATATGAGTTGACCGTCACATCAGCAAAAGTTAACAGAGACTAACGGCCAGTGACCAAACTTGGACTGTTAACCTAATTTAAGTGACTATAAATGGAATAAATTAATTTGAGTGGCAAACGTGAAATTTTGTAGCAATTCGAGTGACCAAACTTGCAATTAAGCCGTTTAAAATACAACCAAACGCCGTCGTTTCGGCATACTAGACTACTAATTTCAAATTTTCAATCCCTAAAAGTCGATTCCATCGCCAATCAAAAGGGGGCAAAAAACGATCCCGCCGCTCCATTGCCGCCGGCGCGAAGCTCCTTTCCGACTTCCGCCAGCAAGCCGCCACTAGTTCATCAATTCCACCCCAGACCCGGAAAACTTTTGAAGACCAAATGGGAAACAAATTTAGACTTCTGGGGATTTTTACGCTCTTTACCCGTTAGTGCTTCAGCTGCGGGCCAATCAAAAGCGAGGTAAATTTCCTCGTCTCCGGTGTTCTTAGTGTAATTGATGGTTGATTCCGAATTTTGATCCAAAGTTTCCCCTGGGCGCTTTGTCTATCTGCAATTGGGTTTCTCCCCTGTTTACAGGAACACTATTCTTCTTTCGCTTATCTTGGCTGGTTTTTCGCCTGTATGCGGTTCATCTTGGGCTAACAGGAGAAATTCACAGCCAAGTTCATTGCTTTCTCTTCGGATCAGCAGCTTTACGTGCTTCTTGTTTCGTACGTGGAATTGACTGAAATGGTGAATCTGAATGGAGCGTCTTGACTGGAATGGGAAAGGTCAAAGGTTGATGATTTGCGCACTGCGTTCTTAAGCCATGATATGGTGAACTATCGTGTATTTGGGATGGTTTCAGTTCTTGCTCGTGCTGGCAGATTCTAAACTTTTACGAACAAATTAGAGTATGTTCACTGCTTCTTGGTGCGTTCACCTGCTCAAGCGCACGCGAACTGTCTCTCTCAACCTTAATAGTTCGCTCTGTTTCTCAACTCAAACATTATCCACTCAATGCCAACTCTCTTCAGCCCTCCCTTATCTCAAGCTTCTCAACTCCAAGCTCTCTGGCTTCATGAGAGGTGGCCTGGTCGAGGAAGCAGAGAATTTGTTCGACGAAATGCCTGATCGAAATGTTGTGACTTGGAACACCATGATAAACGGCTATTTCAAGAATGGACAGAAGGAAAAAGCCTTCGGGTTGTTGGGTTCCATTCCCAATCCTGATATCTATACATACAACACAATGATCTCCGGGCTGGTCCAGAGCGGTGATCTGTTTGGTGCTAGGAAGGTCTTCGATAAGATGGACTCTAGAGATGTAGTTACCTGGAACTCCATCATTGCCGGTTATGTTCACAAAGGAATGATCGACGAGGCGATGCAATTGTTTCATGAAATGCCTCTCGGGATGAGAGGGAGAGACACAGTGTCTTGGATAGTTATGGTTTCTGGCTTGGCTAAGGAAGGGCGTCTTGTTGAAGCTCATGAGTTGTACGAGCAGATGCCGCTCAAAGACTCTCATGCTTCCAATTCCTTGATTGCTGCATATATCAGAATCGGGGAGCTGGGCCGGGCAGAAAACTTGTTTCACAAGGCAGAACAAAAAGACTATGATTCTTGGAGGCAATTGATAAATGGGTTAGTCACTTGTGGAAGACTCAGTGATGCTCTTAGCCTCTATTTGGAAGCACCTGAGAAATGTCACACTACGTGGAACTTGCTGCTGCTGAAATTAATGGAAAATGGAGCACCTAAACCAGTTCATGCCCTCCTCGAAAAGCTTCCATATGGCGACATTGTGTCATGGACTAACATAATCGTCGGATACTTCAGGGCAGGTGAAGTAGGAGCTGCAGTTAGCCTGTTTTACTCGATGCGTAGTCTAGATGTAACGTTATGCAATGTGATGATATGTGGACTAGGAGAAAATGATCTTAAGGAAGAAGGCGTCAAATTGTTTATGATGATGAAAGAATCAGAGTTATCACCTGATAAGGCTACTTTCACTAGCATCTTGACAATTTGTTCAGAGTTACCAGCCTTATGCCTAGGCGAACAAGTATGTGCACAGAGTATCAAGACGGCACTAAATCACACTATCGAGGTATGCAATGCAATGATCACTATGTATGCCAGATGTGGGAATATGACCTCTGCTTTGCGTTGCTTCTCCTCCATGCCTACCCATAACGTCATTTCTTGGAACTCGATCATCTCTGGATTTTCCCACCATGGTCTTGGACCACAAGCCCTTGAGATGTTCGAAGAAATGAGATTTAGCGATGTGAAGCCTAATGAGTTAACCTTTATTGCCGTTCTGTCTGCTTGTAGCCATGCAGGATTGGTGGAAAAAGGTAAATACTACTTCGATTATATGAAAGACGAGTGCTTTCTGCAGCCAACAGCCGGACATTACACTTGTATCGTGGATCTATTTGGAAGGTTTGGGCTGATTGATGAAGCTATGAGTTTTATAGACCAAATGAGAGCTGATGGGCTTGAAGTTCCCGTTAGTGTCTGGGGAGCTATACTTGGAGCTTGTAGAGTTCACAGAAATGTTGAAGTTGGTGCAGTTGCTGCTGAGAATGTGTTGGCGATTGAACCAAATAGGTCTGGCACGTACATGATTTTGGCAGAGATATATGCTAGCGTTGGAAGGTTGAACGAGGTGGAGAGAGTTTTGACCCAAATGAAGAAAAATGGAGTCAAGAAACAACCTGGGTGCAGTTGGATTGAGATGAACGACGGTGGAAGTGTTTTTCTTTCTGGAGATAAGTCGCACCTTGAGTTTGATAGGATCGTTGAACCCTTGGAGGTATTACACGTGGACGTGGAGCTGATGAGTGTAGGCTCTGATCAAAATCTTGTTCAATCTTGTTGGCACTCTGGGTAATTTGTTCATGCTTGTTCAAGCCCTACATTGGATTTATTGTTCCGACTGGCAGAGGTGCAATAGCAGAGTATGATGCAAGTCACTGCAAATTGGGATTATACGAATGCAAATTTGTTCAACCTCGAAAGTCGAAAAATCATAAATCCTTGATATAGATTGAAGCTTTTCCCTCTGCCTTTCTTTGGTCATATAGCCATACAGACTTGATGAACTACTTTATCTATGAAGCCGAAAAGGTACAGTTGCAGCCATTCCTGGCATATCAACTCCTTGTTTTATGTTTATCTTTATCAACCACCATTGATGTTTGCTGAAGCTTGATGCTTGATTGAACAACTTTATATTCATTGAAGCCCGAGGGGCTGCTGAGTTAGTCATGGTTTGTTTTTCAGATCAAGCTTGGAAAACCTGCCTCAATAAATGTCAGCTCCTCCAGAAGCTGGTTAACAAATTGGACCTTTTTGTTGGTTGGCTTCTCTTGACTTTCATGTAATTCTTTCAACAAATATCAGATACTGAATCTTGCTTGTACAGATTGCTAAGCATGAGCAACCATTCGATCTAGACTGTGACCCAAATCGGTCTAATACGACCAAGATTGAACCGAATCATTGTACAGATTCAATTCCCTTCAATACCTCAAAAGATTTTACATTTGTGAACAAAGAAATAAAGATGAATCGCTAGTTATAGTTTCCAAAAAGAACCCAATATTTGTAGTTTCGGGCATTTTTGTATTGAATTTATGTTACCACAAGGGTGTATTCAACTCTTAGGATTCACAAAAATCCTTCAATCAATACTCACAACTCACAACCCTCTCCCAAGCTAACAATTAAATTAAAGAATTAACTACCCAGAAAAGAAAAAGAAACGACCAATGTCTTCTTGCCCTACAAATATCTACACCCCCCAAAACCCTAACTGTCTACATACCAAAAATTCCCATTCACAACAACCTTCTACACACTGGCATGGTAATATCCAGTCACCATTGTTGTGGTTCTTTATTCAGTCACAGTTCAACCCACAGACCTCCAACACAGGACCGTCTCTCGACACGAATGGGTTGACTCTCACCCAAAGCAAGGTCAATATCGACGATAGGAGAATCGACCACACCAGAATGATCGTTGGCATCCTGTCCTGCTTCCCTAGCAACCCCTTAAGGAAAGGGTAAAGATGGACGATCACCCATATAGCGAAGAACAGCCTACCGAACAGTGGACCCCATGAGTCGTAGCCATTGTTGATTGCATCAGAGATCCCGACCACAACTCCAACGATGTTCATAATCAACAGTGTCGTTGGAGGGATGAGGAGGGAAGTCCACTTGAAGATATAGAGGTCCGAGAACTCTCCATCATCGGCTGCCTTCGAAGTCACAGTGAAGTTGGTGTTCACACCGGCCAAGACCTTGAGGAGACCCTGGAAGAGGGCGAAGAGGTGGGATGAGACACCACCAATCACCCAGAACTGCTCATTTCGCCATATATCATCGAGCCCAACACCACCCCACTGCATCTCGAGGAGACTCGTAGCAGCGATTGATACGAAGAGTAGCATGAACAGTACGCTGGCATAGTTGCTAATCTGCAACACCCAAAAAAATAAAGAAATTACGAATCAAAACTACAGATTCTACATAGAATAAGAACAAGATAGAAGCGAATTGGACAATCACAGATTGTAATAGTGTATAGCCCAATTACCTGAGGGACAATGAACTTGCCAGTGAGAAGACAGATCGCTGGCAATGTGCAGTAAGCCAGTAAGGGAATGGAGGTCAAAGGATAGACGACGGAGTTTATGTATGAAAATCGCTCCAGCGACTTCAACCCACCACCATATCCATACCATAGCGGGCAATGTCTGCTCAAGAGAATCTCTACTGACCCCAATGCCCATCGAAGAACTTGGTGCAGACGATCGGACAGGTTAATAGGAGCCGATCCTTTGAATGCCGGTCTTTTAGGCATGCAATATACAGATCGCCATCCGTGGCAATGCATCTTGAACCCTGTCAGAATGTCCTCCGTAACTGAGCCATAGATCCACCCCACCTGAATAGCGTTTTACGAACCATTAATAAAAATATTCGAGTAAAATAAGTTGTAATGGTAAAGTTCTCCTTAACTTACTTCTTTGCCCCATTCTGTTTTGTCTTCATAACCACAACTGATAACCTGAATGGCTTCTCTCAGCAAGGCAGCAGGATTGGCATCCCTTGGAACTCCACCGTCTTCAAGACGTGCAGAGGCTATAAATACCGGCGACTGCCCAAATTTCTTCTCCAATTTGGTCTGAGGTGCTTCAGAAGACTTCTTGGTAATCAACTCTGCAGGGATTAAATAAATACTGAGAAACATGAACAGAAATCATGACCAAGTGTAGTACAGAGAAACATGAACAGAAATCATGACCAAGTGTAGTACAGAAATAGATAAAAAGAATTCCATTACCATTCTGTCCTTCAATATTTTCAAGAGCATGGACTTGATTCGACGATTCCCTGCCCTTTGATTTCTTCTTGCTCTTCTTGGCACTTGATTTCGTGTTCTTTCTCGGACCACAGCACAGGCAGCACCATCTAGGCCAGCAGTTGCAGGTCTTCCCTGGAGGCTTCTTCTTGACGGGTGCATCATAACCGTAAAGAGCTTGCCTCCGAAAGACACAGCCAGTACCGACGTAAATTGGTCCTTGTAAACCATCCAGGCCTTTCATGTTGATCTGTTTCAGATTTGAGAGTCAGCTTCTTCGGCTGTGGTACTTGATATGACAAGAATTAAGCAAAGAAGAAGAAGGACAATGCTTTCAAGCGATACATACATCAAAAAAGACGACATTCCTATTAGAGTATCTATCGTGTCGATCAATCCCATCGAATCTCTGAGGGAACTGCACGTAGCAGACTTTCTTCCCTGAAGTTGGGTCCATCATGAAACACATGGCTTCTCTAAGAGCCTTGCTGTTATTGATGTAATGATCACAATCGACGTTGAGCATGTAAGGAGCGTTTGACAGCACTGCTGAAACTCGTATCTACATCAATCACAATGAATAATGATTCAGATATCATTTGATTCAAAGGTGTAACAAAACATCAATCCACAAAAGTTTGAGATTTTACCAGTGCATTCATAGCCCCGGCCTTTTTGTGATGGTCAAACCCTGGTCTCTTCTCACGAGAAACGTAAACTAAACGAGGCAACTCATCTCCTTCAACGTCACGGACACCACTCTGTCCAAGGAATACCTGTAATGGCAAAACATCATTTCAGATACGAAGTAAAATGGGTGTTCCAAAGTAATCTCGACTACCAAGCATGTCAGTTCAAAAACAAGTTCATATTCAATGATTTTTAACAAACACATATACACTATGCTGGCTCGCACTGTCCTATACGCTCGAAAATTTGGCCACCTCAATTCTCCTCCTAAAGCCCGTACTGTCTCTTTTTATGTTATCTATGATGCTTCCGTCATGTTAGGGTTCTAAATTGAGGAGCAAAGATAGCGAGTGAGTTATCGAGGCCGTGCTTACCAAGCATGGATAGACATCACTAGTAATGAATAGGAAAGAAACTTCCAACGGAGAGGCTAAAAGTGAATAAGTCAATGTAGGGACCAAATACCAGACGATAGCCTCTCTGAAGCTATAACTAATCTGGAATGCTCCAGTTCGAGAATGAAAATGCAGATTTCACTTGTAAAAATAAGAAAGAAAATAACTGTAACTATGAAGGAACGGCAACAAGATCAGAGAACTTCAAAGACCAATATGAAATATGATATCCACATGAAAAAGTTCTCAGATAAAAAACAATCTCTTCTTCAAGCAAGAAGCTTTTTTTCCTGAACACAAAAACTTGGACTCAAAATAACTTATGAGTATCTGTAAACAGAACAGCCATTGGCTTGTAGCAAAGGAGACCCCATTGCGCGACTTCGCAAAAATGCTATTAACAAAATGCACGGGAGGGGGTTATCAATTCCTCTGCCACGGAAATCCGTTGATATAGCACCTTTTGAAACCCTTTTTCTCGTTTGGTTCCTTGGAACTCAGAGCTTGGATGAACCAAGGGGCTATTTGGTGCATGAAGAAGATGAGAAAAGGAAAAAAAATAGATTTTCTCAAGAGCAAGCCAAAGTAGAGGACCGAATAAGGATGCTAGATGTCAGGTTTTCATTTAGCTATTGGCTCAGGCCAAAATAAAAAATCAACTCACCTGAATCATGCCAGGATGATCCCGCACATTGTTGCCAGGCCATGGAGTTCCATCTTGCATTGTCCAACCATCTTCCGGAACCTTTTGTGCTGTCGAAACCAATCCATTGATCCTAACTTTAAACTCTTCGTAATCCCTCTGCATTTTCCAGCAAGGGGAGTAGAAAGTGTTAGAACCCATGAGACTTGCACACTACATTTGATCATACATAGCTGAAAGGAAAAGGTAACACTAAGTAACCTTCATAGCACGTCGTTCCCTAACGAATGAGGGATGGACCTTATTCTTCAAGTAATCAATCTTCTGGGAGAAGTACCACTCAGGTGCTCGGGGCTCTATATTGAACTTCTTACAGAAAGGAACCCATTTCCTAGCGAATTCAGATGTCTCCGAGAGAGCTTCAAAGGTGAGCATAGCGGCACCATCGTCAGAGACATAACAAGAGACCTTATCAACAGGGTAGTCCACAGCAAGAATAGAGAGAACGGTATTTGCAGTTATTAATGGGGGTTCTTTCATGGGGTCCACCGTGCTAACAAATACATCTATGCTAGCTAGCTCCGATGGTTTGCCTTCTTTTTCATACCTGGCAAAGAATGAAATGGTGAAGTCAACATCTTTCAAGAAGAAATGTGAAAGTAGGAGATAATAGCAGTTCCAAGCTACCTTAGTGACAGTCGATCGAGGTATGTTTCTCGTTCTATGGGGTACATTTTTGGGAACTGGTCAAGAATCCATGATAAGGCAAACCATATTTCACATATGACTGATGTTAGCCACAATCCAAATGCATCTTTGACGGGGTGAAGAATTCTGTAGTGGAAGAACAGCCCCACGATCACGAGACGGATGATAATCACAAGTCTATATGGGTTTATCTTGCTTGAAGGAACAGGTAACTTCCTCGAAAGCGGCTGCCTGCCCTCGTCCATCCTGACAATATATACCAAGAAAACTGATCATTAACCAAATCAATACCTAACACTCCTTCTCCCTAGACCAAGACCGGTCTAAACGTCAATCTAGTCTCTAGAATTGCTTACGAACCACATTAAGCACTAAATTTGGTATCAAGACAGTTAAAACACAAAACTAGAGCCAAAACTCAACCAAAGCACTTTTGCTTCCTCTTTTAGCTTTTGTTGTTATGTTTCCGATGTGGTGACACATGAACATAATAAGAACCAGAAGAAGGAAACTAGCTAATGCCATCATATAATCCCTCCGACCTAAGAATTTGCTCGTATGTAATGCAGTGAAAGAAACTCACATGGGCAAATCAGGGTCATCAAGTTCATCACTATTGAAGTTTCCACCACCATTTCCTCCCTCATGCTTGACCACCTGAAGTCTGTCGCTTTGCCTTCTCTTCCACTCTTCCATTCTATCCTTCCACGCGACACTTCCATAGCCATATACAGCTATGTCCTTCTGTGGAACCATAGGTCTGGGTTGCACTGCATGCCAAAAGAAAAAAGTTACAGTAACGCTATAGACATGGGGGGAAAACATGAAACTCAGCGCAGCAGCTAGCCAAGGGCATTATGTCGCCACTTACGTGGTGTAGATGGATCTGGAAAAGGCATCGGATGAACTCTATTTCCATGACTCGACCGAGGGGAAACAATAAGAGCATGATCATCAGAAGTGATATAAACATCCTGCAAACAAAATAGGAAAAAAAGTGAGCTCATTATAGCAGACCAATTAGTGACTAGAGAGAAGAGCTGTGAATCCAGAAATTACCTCATTGCGATAGGTGAGCAGAGGAATTGTAGAGTCTAGTGGTGAAGCATTGAGTTCTGATTGTGCAGAAACTCCAGAGGCATCGTTAAGGTGGGACCCACGGCCAGTATTGAGTCTTGAAGCAAACATTGCTTCTGCAACTTGTTCTGGACCCCAACCGTCAAAGCCCCCATAATCAAATTCGTGCTCCAGATCGTCGACACCATCTTCTTCCTCGTCACCATCGACCCTAGGACTACCTGCAATGTTGCATCACACTATGAGAAAAACCGAAATTCTAATTTTCCAGATAGAATTGTGGAAAGAAGATAAGAGAGATGACCTTTGAGACGCTTATATCTGGTTTTACACTGAGGACAAGCCTGGTTGCCCTCTCGTCTCTCGTACTCGTAACAATGTCTGCACACGGGAAAAGCACATTCGTTGCATGCAACGAATATCTCTCCGTCCACTGTGATCTCGATCTCATCACCACATATCTGGCACACTTGGCCACTCAATTCTTGCACCGATCGAATCTGTATAATGTCCGGAACCAATTGAACTTTCATCAGTAATATATTGGGAACAAGAGAATAGTTAATGAACTAAGACAAACCAGTTCAGTTGGAACTAGACTATATCCGAAGTGAGAAACCAAAGGTGTTCTACAATATGTTCGAGTCACCAAGCTCTGGACAAAACAAAATCGCAATCCCAGTTACTTAGAATACAACCAAGCAAGAAGCAAAAACACACTGTGGTAAGCGTGATGCTCAATTGAAGGGGGGTAAACTTCACTCAAAACATTCTCAAACGGGATGCGGAAAACCTAAGTGCGTTGCCATTTTCACTCAGAATAGAAGCAACGCCTACTTAGTCATTCCCTTCTGATATTGAAGGTTCAACTCAAATCAACAGTCAACATCACTATACCCAAAACTAGAACTTTCACAAAATTATAAATTGAGACAAACAAACCCTGAGTCTGAAAATGCAGCAAAAGCGTTAGTCCAGTCAAAATAGTTAGTCTTGTTCTCAATCTAACACCACCAAATCAGTAGAAACTATAAACATTCTAACAACACAACCAAAGGAAAACAAAAGACAGCCAAAGAAACCAGTAGAGGGCGGAACCAGGTCAAAAACGAAGATGAGAACATGGGTCATATTTCTTACTCTTGCAGTCTCATCGGCATTGATGAGAATGAACTCATTCCTGTTGTGAGAACCAGCAATGAGTCTTCCGCCAGTATTCATGGCGTAGAAAACTCAGAAAGAACCCAGAAAAGCCCCTTTGCTTCACTTCAATCTCAAAACCACAAGCACCAGTCTCCTCCAGCTCCAATGGGTCATTTCAGCTCGTTGTAAAGCTCCAAACTTTGCACCACAAACAAGCAAACCCGCGTAGCAATCAAGAATGAGTAAACAAAAGTTGTTCCCTTTTTCCCCGCTTCTTTCTCCTTTTCACAGCAGGCAGCTGGGATAGATTAGTTCACAAGCCAGTTTTCCCCCACTTTTATCGGCAGTGGAAAGAATGGGGTAAAAGGAAAGGCGTAAGGGAGAAGGAAAACAAAATGGGGGAGAAACGAAAAGAAAGAGAGATCGATTCAGCGAGGCACAACCCAACCCAACAAAGTTTATGCCTTTTGCACTGTGATGCAAAGCAATGAAGTAATGGTGGTTGGTGGGAGAAAACACATCATTTGGGATAGCGAGAGAGAGAGAGAGAGAGAGAGAGAGAGAGAGAGAGAGAAAGAGAGAGTCAAACGAGGGATGGAGAGATAGAGACAGGAAGAATTAAGAAACAAACAACAAAACAACAAATTACATCCCACAGAAGAAGAAGAAAAAGGGAAAAGGAAACAACTTTTTTCTTTATTACTCTGTTTTTTGATCGCTCGCCAAATGGAGGGAAATGAAGAAAAGATGGAGGGGGAAATGAAAATTTGAGGGGTGGAGGTGGGACCCAGGTGAAGAAGACGGTGGCGGTGCTGATCTGTCGGCCGCCGCGCCCCGCCGGCGGGTGAGCGGCGGAGGGTGATTCTAGCTAGCTGGCTTCCAATTCGTTGTGGTAGTAGTTTTTGATTGAGGGCGATTCTGGGTTTTTGGTTTTGGTTTTGATTTTGATTGATGGCTACTGCTGCCAATTAGGGTTTCACTTTCTAGAGAGGGAAAGGACACCGCGTGTGAAGAGAGAGAGAGAGAGATTCGGACAGACAATAAACAAAATGAATCGCTATTTGCCGCCCGTCGTTTTACTATTTGCCGCCCATAGTTAGGACAGAAAAGACGAATGTGCCCCTTCCCCCCTAACCCTATCTATCCATCTCCTCCCCTCCCACCCACCCCCACCCCCCCACCCCCACCCCACCCCATCTGCTCTCTGTCGCCAAACAGACCCCCCCCACCCCACCCCTCTGTCGCCGACGACCCCCCCACCCCACCCCCTCTGGTTTCGCCGACGACCCCCACCCCACCGCCGCCGAGCCGCTGCCGCCTTCCCCTTCCTCTGCTCGCCGCCGAGCCGCTGCCGCCTTCCCCTTCCTCTGCTCGCCGACGAGCCGCCGCCGCCTTCCCCCTCTGTTGCTCCTCTGCTCGCCGCCACCGCCCAGGAGAAGCAGTCGCCGCCCGACGAGGTATTTTTTTTTTTTTAAAACAGTATCGCCACCGTCCGCCTGGCCGGCGCGGACCCCGTCCGCCTGGCCGGAGCGGACCCCGTCCGCCTGGCCGGAGCGGACCCCGTCCGCCTGGCCGGAGCGGACCCCGTCCGCCTGGCCGGAGCGGACCCCGTCCGCCCGGTCTGGTCGGACCCCGTCCGCCCGGTCTGGTCGGACCCCGTCCGCCCGGTCTGGTCGGACCGATCTTATTGGGTTTTGGGGTTCGATTTAAATTAATATTTATTGTATTGATTTTAAATACAATTGTTAGTATCTTAATTATTTTAGTATTGATAGTTGAATAATTAGTATATAATTGATAATTATATAATGTGTTAGTTTATTAATTGGGTAAGTTGAAATAATTATTTAAATAACTATATATTGTAAAGTAACTATCTAGTTAAATTAATTAGATAATCAAGTTGTATATATCATAATTAATAATTGATAAATTATGAATATGAACAAATTGCTAATCAAATAATTTATTATAAGAGATTAATAGATAATTATGGACTATGCTAATAGATCATTTATTATAATAAATATGTAAAGAATTATTGGATCATTGTTAATTTTAAATAATTATCTATGATGTTTTAGTTAAGTAATTGAGTAAGTTGAAATAAATATTTAAATAACTACCTATCGTATTAAGTAAAATAACTATCTAGTTAAATTAAGTAAAATCAAACGAAATAAATTGCATGTATCATAATTACTCTATAAAACAACAAGTAATTGCTCAACAAATAATTTCCAATAAGATATTAATAGAAAATTATTGTCTATATTTAGAGATGGCGTCATCTGGTAATTCTGGAGGATCACGTAGTTCTGGAGGACCAGGAAAGAGATTGAAAAGATTCATTGGGCGTAACATTAGCGCTAGTGTGAGAAATAAGGACGGAAATGATAGAGCTCAGCCACAGCCTCAGTCCCAGCCACGGCCTCAGCCACAGCCACAGCCACAGGTGACACCGATGAGATATAGGGCAGACGGTTTCCCTGAGTTTGATTTTCGGATGCCTAGTATGGGTGGTAGTGGAGCTGGTCCCAGTATTGATCATCATACTTCACCGTTTGAGCCTTCAGACGAGATTGACGACGAGTCGGAGGAGTATGAGTCGGATGCTGTTGATACACGTATTCCACGAGTCAGTCCGATCAGAGACAGAGGTGCCCCCAGCGTTGCGTCACCTGTCGTTACTGGGGTTCATGCTGTTACTGGGATCTATAGAGACCATGCGGGGCGTTTCTATAGAGCTCCACAGCCTGGTGAGGGCCAGAGTTCTACTGCTGATGTAGGAGAGGCCTGGGAGCCTAGAGGACCGTGTCCTGGAGGGCCGAGCGACCCGAGTTTGCTCTGTAGCTTTCTTGGGCATGTTGCCCACCGTCTGTACACGGGAGAGGCTGATAGAGGGGTGATCACTTGCTACGACAGGAGTGCGACCCTTTGTCACGTTCTCGGCGGTTATCAGATAGCAGATGATAACGCTAGGACTACCGTAGAGACATCGGGCCTTGCTCACCTCGTTGATATCACCTTCCAGAGCGAGTTGGACCCTGCTCTCATCTCGGCATTTGTGGAGAGGTGGCAGCCGGATACTAACACCTTCCACATGCCGTTTGGAGAGATGACGATCCTCCTTCACGACGTGGCACACATTCTTGGGATTGCGGTTGACGGAGAGGCGATGGTAGTGGATCCAAGGCAGTTGGAGAAGTTTGCACTGGAGGCTGACATCCGAGCACTACTGGGATTAGATCGTGACGAGGATGAGTACGGGGCGCAGGTTGGCGAGGTTGCTAGTCTGTCTAGGTGGTACAGAGGATTTGGTTTGTCGGGTGTGGGAGCTTTGACTCATTTGCAGCAGTCTGGTCCGCCAGCTAGAGAGGCTCAGTGCTACCTTCTTTTGCTGCTTGGGTCCACACTGTTCGTAGATAAGAGTAAGGATCGCGTTTCTGCTGTTGTGAACTTGTTTGTGAAGAGGCCGGATATGGTAGGAGAGTATGCGTGGGGGGCTGGAGCACTTGCTTATCTGTACAGGCAGCTTGGTATTGCCTCCCGGGCGGAGGCTAAGGGAGTGTCGGGTTGTCTGACTTTACTACAGTGTTGGATTTACGACCACTTTCCTACTTTGAGGCCTACTCGGTTGGAGCCACGAGAGCTGGAGCAGGGGCAGGCAGGAGCATTCAGGTGGCGCGGTACAGCACCCCGGTCGAGTAAGAGGAGGGATGCACAGATGCTGGCTTATTATCGGCAGGCGATTGATAGATTGACCCCTCAGTCAGTTACTTGGACTCCGTATGGTCGTAGTCCTCATCTGACGGTGAGACGTACCTTGTATCAGGGCCTGCTCAGATTTGCAGAGATAGCAGAATATTATGATCCCACTAGGTGCCTCCGACAGTTAGGGTACGTGCAGGGAGTACCGTATCCACCGGAGCGTCCGCTTGTTGTGCGTCGACCTGCTTCCACGCTTGGATACTTGTATGATTATTATTTCATATGTATGAGTGTTATTTGTTGTTTTTAGACGAGTTGACTTATGTGTTCTACTACGACTTATGTTATGTGGTGTTCAGTTGCTTATTTGTTGTTTTGGGACTATGACTTATGTTATTTGTGTAATCTGATTATGACTTATGTGGTTTATGTTGTACTTTGGATGTTTTTATTATATCATGCTTCCATGTGACGTAAACAAACTTCATTACAATTTATTTAAATTGAAGACGTTCATTACAATTTATTTAAATTGAAGACGAGTACAAGTTTATTTCTTTTTACCCCTCTTTTTGCGTGATGGAAAGTTACTCGCCGCACCCCCAAGATCGAACCACATTTGACTAAACGGCGCGAAATATGTCTCCCATCCATCCACGCTTGCTTGGTGACCGTCTGGCCACATGCCATGTGGCGGGGGCATCGGTATCTTGTCCGCCGGGAAAGAGAGGTTGATCCAATGGTTCTGGACGAAATGCACAACAATGACTCCTCTAGGGTGGGCTTCCCCATATATGTTGTCCACTGGCAGAATGGTGCAGTTGTACGATTGCGGAGTTGGGTAGAAGTAATGGCTGTACATGACAACCGCCAAATTAAATAGTGTGGCAAATACGAATAGATCCACACCCATCATCCAATGATGTTGAGTCGTTGGTTCTGTAGTAGTGATGTCAATGCGTCTGATTGCATCATTGATGCCTTCACCGTAGATGGGTGCGTATCGCCAATCGTGCTCACGCATTTCTTCAGCAAGTCGTGTCCTCACCCCTGTGAACCCTTCTTGAGTACCATATAGTGCAAAACTAAGTGCACGAAACCCACAATGACCGTCTGGCGCCGGGTCGTGGATGGCAATGACAAGCGGCCGAATGAAGACAGGAAGCAGTTCCATGTGTTCGTAATCGGAATGGGCGTTGCTGGGTCCAGGGATATCTGTGAAGAAAATAGGTAATCAGCACAATTATATTTTAAAATATTAATATAAATAACTACACTTATGAAAAAAAATTAAATTGTACCTGTGTCAAAGCAGTTGTATTTGTTGTTATCTTCTGGATCATCACACTCCTCCGCTGCATGGTCGTCTGACGGGTACTCGTCTGTTTGAGTCCCCGTGGACTTGGTACTGGTCGACTTTGTAGACCCCGACGTTGTGCTTCCCGACTTCTTTTTCATGCTTTTCTTATTGCCTCGCAGTATCTTTTCCCACCACCCTTTCATTCTTCCAGTTGATTTTTTGGCTGGGCGCCCCTTTCTAAATTCGTTCACTTCTGGCTCGTGAATGTTGTCCTCCGCCGGGTGGAGACCGCGAAACACGTTCTTTGCTGCTTTTTTAGTTGCCTCTGGTCCTCTGCGTACAGCCTCATCAACCAACTCCCGAAGGTGAGATCTAGCCTCCTCCTCCTGGGGAACGTACTCCTGAGCATTGGGTGGATGCTCATATGACAGTGTCCGCCAATATATATGAATATCACCGGGATATATCTCTATGTCTCGCGCTCTGCCATCCATAACTTGACATCCACACCTCAAGCCGTGTGTCACAGAGAAATGACATGCACATCGGGAGTTCTCATTTTTTTCCAAGCGGGCACCCAATTCTTCTTCAGCCTCCTTCATTAATATAATTGCCTGCATGCTGACCTTCCTTCTCAAGAATGTGAATGGTGTACCACCGGATGCTGAAAGGGTTTTCTGTCTAGAGTTTTCCAACATCATCCTAACCTCCCCGAGTTGGTTAGTAATGTAGCGGTGGTTTCCTTTCCATACAGTGTCCATAGATCCCCGCGAGTTGTGGAGGAAAGTCTTCAAAGCGGAATGTGACGACTCAACCCTGTTTGTGCTCGTATTTCCTAGATGAAACACATTTTTTGTATGACAAACAGCCCACTTTTCTCGATGTTGCCACCACACTCCCTGTATGTATTGCAACAGACGTGGTTCTTGATTGCCCCATCTTGTCCTAAAGCGGCCAAACGCGGCCAACATACCTTGCTCTGACCAAGAATAAAGCATAGGACACCAATATTGGTCGTACGCCTCGTTGACCAAATCCATCCTGTTCTTCCCAAATATTTCCAAGCACTTCTTCTGCACATTGGTGTTGATGTGCCAAACACATAGCAAATGCGGGGTGCGGGGGAAGACCACAGGAACCGTAGCAAGTAGTCCACCTTCGTGGTCGGTGACGATGACAGAGGGCACGCGAGGATGGAGCAATTGTTGTATGCACTGCAACAGCCACAAATACGACTCTTTTGTCTCATCCTTCATGAGAGCACAACAGATGTTGAAATTCTTCCCAACTGGAGTTGCACCTACGACCTCCACCCACGGCCATTTATATGCATTGGTCTTATACGTTGAGTCGATCAGAATCACGTACGGCCAAGCCTTCAACATCTGGATGGAAGTTGGATGGGCAAAGAAAAGATGTGTCAGCACGTCGTCATCGTCCTTCATAACCTCTGTATGATAATTCTCACGTTCAGCTTGTAGCAACGCATACTGCACTGCATTCATCTCGCCCATCTCTTCTTTCCTAGACTTGGACCCGAGGTTATACATCTGCCTTTGGGTGTGATGCCCTTTGTCACCCTTCTGCTTGTTTATTGTCTGCTTCTGTTGCGACGGAGGTACCCCAGCATCTCTCATCTGCTTAAGAGATTCTTTATCCTCCTGACTCAATTTATTCATTTGACTGTGGCCCTCGGGATAAAGCATTTTCTCATGACTGTGATACCCTCGCCTTAAACCGGTTCCTTGCTCCGCGACTCCTTGTATCTCCCAGAATGTAGGTCCATCAAGAGCATCTGGATTAACCAGTATTTCTTTGATTTTAATCTTGAACATGCATCCCGCTCCTTTTGAACTTGTATTGCCACGACTCTCTTTGGAAGGATCCGGCTTGTATGACTTCCTCTCCCTACTGCATCTGTCGCAATACATATAACAGATACCCAATGATCTTTCGTTGCCCAAGTCACGTGGCTTCATCGATCCCTTAGTTAGAAAGAAACCAAGAGACATCGCGATGTTTTTGGTCTCTGTTACAGCATCTTCGAAATTGGCATATCGGACGCCATTAAGAAAATGGTCTGTGTAATCACCAATTAGTTCAACATTGTCAGCCATGTCCACCTGCAATTATGATTTTGACTCTCGTTAGAAATGTACAAATTATATGATTCTACAAAATTAAACTAAATGCAATAATTTAATTAAGTCTAAAAAATACAGATAATTTAAATATAAATTATTAAACCAAATTAGCTCTACGATTTAAATCTAAACACAATAAAACTAATTTGCGCTACAACAAAACACAATCACTTAATTAAACTAATTGTGCTTTAATTGACTCTACAAAATTAAACTAAATGTAATAATTTAATTAACTCTAAAAAATAATGATAATTTGACGATAAGAAAATTATTTTAATATAAATTTTTAAACATCTTTAGCTCTACGAATTATATCTAAACACAATAAACTAATTAGGGCTACAACAAAACACAATCGCTTAATTAAACTAATTGTGCTTCAATTGACTCTACAAAATTAAACTACATGCAATAATTTAATTAACTCTACAAAATAACGATAATTTGACAGTAAGAAACTAATTAGCGCTACAACAAAATACGATTCGCTTAATTCAAACTACAAAGGAATTTAACTATGTAAAATAGAAATAAAAGCAATAAATTATAAATTATTAGCTCTAGAAATAAAATAGGAAAACATACAACACTGTTATGCAACCGGTCGTCGCTCGCCGGCGTCGGACCCCGTCCGCTCGCCGGCGTCGGACCCCGTCCGCTCGCCGGCGTCGGACCCCGTCCGCTCGCCGGCGTCGGACCCCGTCCGCTCGCCGGCTTCGGACGGCGACCGACGACGGCGAGCGGACGCGGTCCGATGACGGCGAGCGGACGGGGTCCGCCTCCGGCTAGCGGACGGGGCCCGACGCCGGCTAGCGGACCGAACAAAAAATTCAGGATCAGCAAGAGGTTTACCTGCTTCGCTGGTCCGACGACGGGGTACGGCTGCCGTCCAGTGCCCGGCGATATCCTGACGAGATTGGTCCGGTGACCGGCGAGTTTGGCTGCCGTCCGGTGGCTGTGGTGTTTGTGGGGGGTTGGTGGTCGGGACTCGGGTAGTGTGTAAGTTGTTTAAAAAACCATTCAGCGAATAGAATATAAAGAAATATTTGGAGGGCAAAATTGTCCTTTTAGTGTTTTTTACGGGCGGCAAATAGTAATTGCCCGGGCGGCAAATAGTAACCCTCTAAACAAAACAGAGTCATAGATTAGAGAGAGAGAGAGAAACGACAATAGGACGATGATCTAAAGGATGCCGTGTTGGCAAAGAGAGATCCATATTCTGTGGTCGGATGTCATTAGTGGGAAAAAAAAAGGAAAAGAAAACGAGTTTCTGTAACTTTTTTCTTCCTCTGTTGTAAGGAAAAGAAATTGTTTTCTCAATTTATTTTTAGTATCTGTATTTTTGGTTTATATAGTTAGTATGTGATCGTGTCTAATCGAGATGCAATTACAAGTTAATGAAATATTGTTCATTGTTATAGATGGTACACTCTAGTTGGCCAACTTGGAGCAACAATGACGACGGATTATCGTTCCAATCGAAATGATATGAAAAAATAAGAAGTAATTTTCGTTTTGGATTGAAGAAATATACAATAATAGAATATACAAACATTTGGTTTAATAGTTCATGTTGTCAAACAAGACATCGTCTCCAATTACACAAATTGCAATTACCTTATTCAAACAACTCATTATGCATTGTTGTTGAATGCATAATAAAATAAACAAACATTTGGTTTAATAGTTTATCTTGTTAAACAAGACATCGTCTCCAATAACACATATTGCAATTACCTTATTCAAACAACTCATTATGCATTGTTGTTGAATGCATAGAAAAAAAGTTGTTAGGTGGTCTTGAGTTTGTTCCTTCACAAACGGTTACTCATATCCAAGAAAAATCCTCGTTATTGTGATGTCAATATGTTTACTGCTCGTGAAACTTCGTTTAATTAGATAGTTACTGGTGGATTATACTGCTTAAATGAGTTTCGTTTCGTTTCGTTTCATTTTGATCACTCTCGTAGGAGTTCGATAAAAGTACGGATTTTGTTTTTGTGTTTTCAAGTTGAGTGAAGATTAAACAAATCAAGCCTAACAAATGGTATCCAATAGGTTAGGTATAGGAAATAATATGCATTCTCTCATTGATTACATGATTACCAAAATCTAAATAATCAATTAGTTAAGGGGGAAAAAAGTAAACACTATTCTACCTCAGCTGGCCTTTGTCCCGTGAACCCACCCAAATAAAGAATAAGAATAGAAACCCCCACATGTGACTTGGTATGATTAGGACAAGCCTAACAACAACATCACTTGCCAAATGCCAAGAAAACGAATTTAACATTATAAATTAATTAATAACCAACATATGGGTTTGTCTGAGGGTTTTGGTTCTAATTAGCAACTCGAGTTGTTAGATGAAAAATTAAAGAATGAATCATGTATTGTTTTCTTATCTATACACACTTTCAAGTAAAAAATCAATCAATTAATTTTAAGTTTTCACGAGTTCACCTTACTAAATATGTAATTCAACACTTGATATTGGAAGCAGGGGCGGACCTATGTGTTGCTAAGGGGTGTCGGCCGACACCCCTTTGTCCGAAATTTTGTGAAGAACCTATATTTTTTTGTATAAAAAATTTTAATACGAGATTTCTAACACCGCTTTAATAATTATAGCCGATACTCGTTCATTGGGTGACACCCCTGTTCAACAATCTTGGGTCCGCCACTGATTGGAAGTTATTAGGATCAAAGAAGACCAGTTAATTGAAAACTTTGATCTCATGTAAGAAAATAGTCAATCCAAATACTTCAAGTTATTGAAAAAAAATCTTATACAAAAATATATGTATACTTCTCTAGGGCCAACCAAATGGGGTTTGTCGGGAGGCCCTCTGACATAGGGTCGCCGAATATTAGGGAGCTTCTACTGTAGGTCTGTTAGTTGTACAATCTTATATTATATGATAAACTCATAGTGTATGATTTATTGATTATGGTTATGAAGATGTGTTTGTTCATTATTATTTCATACTAGTTTTAGTAATTTATTAATATTCTAAACTGAGGCACGTATATTCATAGTTAAACTCATATTTTTGTACTAAAGGCTCTATTTCTATTGTAAAATGACACAAAAAAATCTTTAATGAATTAACAATGATTATGATTGAAACCCATTTATTGCAGAATACAAAAATTGAAAAAAATAATAGATCATTTAATTTCAAATTATTGAATAAATAAAGATACTATGATCAATTTTATTTTATTATACTGAAAATATTGAATGAGATCTCAATTCCAGAACAAGAACTTCACAATTCTTGAACCGCCCTGTGCTTCTCAAATACATTTTTCTACTCGACAATATTGTCCTCGTTATTTTCTCATAATCATAATCTTACCTTAGCATTTACTTTTTCTTAAAATCTCTATCATCTTCAATTCTTTGAACCAGTCACACATACAATCAATACACGACATCCATCAAAGAAACCATGAATTTCAAAATCCATTACCCTTATGTTTGTTTAACATTTAAATAGTTCATTTTCTATCTCACTAATCACTATTCTTAAATAAAGATTTTCCACAAACGAGGATGACATGTTTTTCATCATTTGGAGATGCAAAAAAGGCAGATGTTAGGCAAAGATTCATCATTTGGTTGAAATGGTCTTTTTTTAAGCTTTGTCATGTTGGGTGAAGATTAAACAATTCAATCCTGACAAATGTAATCTATTAGGTTAAGTGGTGGAGTTTTTTTTTTTATATATTGGAGGGTTAGTGGTGGTTGATTTCACATACACACTTAGGATTAGGTATTGGAAATAATATCCAATCTCTCGTTGATTTCATGATTACCATAATATTAATAATCAATTAGTTAGGAAGAAAAAAAAAGTACACACCTGAACTGACCTTTCTTTCGTGAACCCACTTAATTAAAGAATAAGAAACCCTCTCATGTGACTTCGTGTCATCTTAGCATTGGACATGAATACAAGGCATGATTAGGACAAGCCTAACGACAATACACTTGCCGAATGCAACGAAAACGAATCTAACACTATAAATAAATTAATAGAAGCAAAGCATAAGGCTTTGTCAAGGGTTTTGATTGATTTTAATAATTTGAGTTGTCGGACGATTGGATCATATTTTTATAAGGTTGAGATAGATTTATTTTTGTTTTTAAGTGATATTTGATGGATTCGAACCTATGACTTCCAAGTTCATCACGCTCTTGACAAACGAAAATCAGTCGATTGATTAAGTTTCCACGAGTTCACCTTACAAAATGTTTAATTTAACTGTTGATAGTGGAGGTCATTATGATTCAAACATAAAACCAATCAATTAAAACCTTTTATCTTATGTAAAAATCTAGTCAAACCAAATAATTTCAGTCACCAAAAAAAATCTTATATTGTTTACTAGCGAAAAATAGATGTACTTGAATACATTTTTCTACTCGACAATATTATCCTTATTATTTTTTTCATAATCATTATTCTATCTTATCATTTATGTTTTCTTAAAATATCTATCGTCTCAAATTGAACCGATCACACCCACAATTGATACACGACACGCTTGAACATAATCATGCATTACCTTATGGTTGTTTAACATTTGAAAAGTTCATTTTCTATGACACTATTCTTAAATTAAGATTTTGTGCCAAAGATGATAACATGTTTTTCATCATTTGGAGATACATAATAGGCAGATGTTAGGCAAAGATTCATTGGTTGGGGTCATGAACCTTTGCTTGTATATTAATGGATGCTCAAAACTCGAGTTTAGTTGCACCGACCTTAACACGTGGCTATAACCCATTAGGTTCTTTTGATCACACTCACTTTTAAGCAAAGTAGCAAACCCTCCATTTTTAATCACCTTTTTACAGAAGATTCATGCAACTTATTTTGATCATTAATCACCATGCTTTAGGGTGATCAATGTAAAATAGCATCTAAACCGTAGCTAATACATGCGATTATGTGAAAAGTTTAGGCTCTACAGTTTCAATCCGAATTCATTGAAAGAGTAAAACTTCCTTAATACAGACAAGTTAACTCCTTGGAGGGTCCTCACTGTCAAGTAGTACTGACGAGTAACTTAAAAGATAGGAACCAAGCATATATATAAAAGATATATAAGTGAAGAAAGGAAGTTTCTTTTCACTCAAGTTACACTTCCACTGTCCAACACAAAGCACTTGATTCGTCTACAAGTCTTCATCACTTTCTCCATCACTTCCATTGAAGCTCAAGTGATTCATGTTCTTCTCAAGTGGTGGGAGCCCATCATCCTCATCATCATCATCTTCCTCGTCGTCGTCGTCGTCTTCCCGGTGTCCTTTGCTTGATCCTGCTGCTCCTGTGGGTTCGTAAGAGAGTACAAAGTCAGTGCTCACTCGACATCATCATGATACAAATTTGCTGCATTTATCGAACTAAGCCAGGGTTTTCTTAACCAGATTGTTGCTTTCATCAATCTTATATACCATGTAGTAGGAGGATTCATCATAGTAGATAAACGAAGTACCTTCAACTTCTGGGACAGCTTTGGGAACCCGAGTCTGTTCGGAAAGCCACTCATTTTGAACTGAAATCATTTCAGCACCAGTTGAGCAACCAGAGTAAGCCTTCAGAAGTTCACTGCACAAAGTTGCAGTATTTAATACTATTAGCAGTAGAAGCATCCCATTTCATCTAAACGAAACGTATATATCGGATTAACCAGTCCTGTAAAGGAGAACACTAATAACCAATATTAAGGTACCTGTTGAGAGAAAGAAAAGCATGACCCCATTTGAACTTGCCCAGCAACAAGTGTCCTGATTCCATTTCCCCACTGGCAAGATCAACGAGAGCAGTGTGAACAAACAGGAAAAAAATAGAATATTTTATTGCACCTTGGATCAGATCATCAGCCAGCACAGGAACACACTATAAACACACGCAAGCTAAGATAAGTAAGGGAAACTCATATCATAGAAGCTACAAATTTCGAAGTTGCTGGCACTTGGCATTGATTGTTTTGTATCCCTTAAAGAGTAGATCAGAAATGATAATACGAAACCATGCATGCCTTACCATATTATTAAAGCTGCAGCTAGTGCTTCTACACAAGATAGTTGACAAGGTCGTCCATAATTTACTGGATTTGCTGCAACTAGCCATGGCACTGTATGATCACAAATGTCTACAATTAAGATATAATCCAGGGGTGTGGTTTCAAATGAAAAATATAATGCCACGACAAAGATTGAGCCTATACACGTATACATATACTTTTGGAAGATGAAGGGAGACAAACAAGTTCCTTACCACAACCATATATACCAGATGGAACGAGTATCCAACTATCCATCTCATAGAAAATACAACACAAATATGTAAATATATAGAGAATGGTGCACCTACACAAGCGAGGAGCAGGGCATCGCAGTTTCACGAAGGGTACATCACTCAAACGTGCCCAAGAGCAATCCACAACAGCCAGTCCTTTCCTCTTAATTAACTCAAGGTCTTCCTTAGATACACACTGAGTCCCAACAGGACTGCAGGGGAAAAAACATAAACAACAGATTGAATAACCACATTCTGAGTAACTAGGCAAAAAAAAAAATCATCACAGTTTGTTAAAGAGTAACTGCAGAATGGCACAATCAATAAATTCCCACGAAAGTTAACCAGAATCTCAAAGCAACCAATACAGATATCCTCAATTGCATGGTGTAAACTACAACTCCGAAAAAAGTTAATGTGGAAGTAATTCCCAGGCCTCGAAGTTGACAACTATAACAACTATATCAGAAGCAACACAATTCGTCATTATTACCTCAGAGCAACGCCGCCGAAACCACTGTTCACACGTAGCTCCTGCATTAGGTTGTCCAAAAGCAAGTGTTAACAGCATTTGGAATCCACTTGCAAGATGCACACTTTCATCGAGCTCATTAGACTATAATACAGTTCAACATATAGCAGATACACTATCCAAACAAAAGAACGAAATCAAAATGGTAAAAAGGAGTGAAGTAGATACTCTCTTTCAAAAAGCCAAATCTTGCAAGCTTGCGCCCTGTGCACCTTTTAGCGTCACATTGACCAAAATCCTACCGAACGTAAACCCACCAAACAAACCACACAAGTGTTACCAATCAAACATTGCAAGCCAATATGAAAACCGAAACTAAAGCACGTAACTGGAGAAGATGTTGCGTACCCACATTGCAAGTTGGACTGTGGGAGCCGCTGCTTCTTCTTCAGGAGCTGCACACCAGTGAAACAAGTCATTCTTAGCGGCAATACATCAAACACCTGGTACTCAACCGTCCAGTGACCATAAACAGTAGAACAAAAATCAGTCACGCAGAGTAGTATCTAGTATGTACTACCTTGATCGTGGGGAAGAGACTCATCTTCCCTGCAACGAATGAACAAAACCCAGTGAGCAATGGAGCAAAACGGAAGAGGGAAACTAATCGGAAAAGGGGCTTTCGTTGAAACTTCACCTATCGGGCTGGATGTTGGTTCTGCGGGACTCCACTCGATGATCTGAATAGTTGGTTTTGAAACGCCTCGGCTTATTGTGACCCATGCTTGATCGGAGAAAAGGAATCGAATCGGGGAAGAAAGAAACGAGTTGGCGGCTGGAGCTTTCTGTTACAGCGCTCGATGTGGCGGTTCTGAAAGCAAGGGCATATTTTCTGGCGGGCACTTGGGCTGCGGTCATGGTCCATGGATATGAGGTAAATTTGTCCTATGATCACCAAATTCTTCTTTTCATACGTTTGGATTCAATTACTTTGTTACACCGTCACAAGTTGATTGAATTGACGAAAATTATGATGTAATCGTTTTATCGTTTCAAATTTTATATCTTATATAGTTTCAAAAATCATTTCAATACTAATAAACTTTATTAAAGTTACATTCTCTTCACTCATGAACTACTACTCTTTTGTTATATGAATAAAAAAGACAGTTTTATGCTCATCGAACGACAAAGAAAGAGGATAACTAGAACAAAAATTATATGAAATTTTAAGAATATAAAAAAATTTAGCAACATAAACAAGAAGTTCAGGAACTACACATTTTCCTCCTCTTTATTGTACCTATATAGGTATAAAGAATTCCAATAGGTAGCTAATCCACATAATTACCACTAACTATTTGAACACATAAAAATGGGACTTTTATTACCACAAAGAATCTGAATTAGTTTGATTAGCACAAATCTAAGTATCTTAATCCGCTCTAGCTCAATGCAACTCAAAGTTCTTGGAACAGGAAGATGAGCAACCATTCACAATCTTTTCTGCCCTTTTTTCTGCTTCACGTTCACTCATGATCGCAAGAGCTGCCAAACCAATAAGTAAAAAATCAATCAAAAACTAACATTGTTGTCAAAACTTTATCCACTAACAACAATAGCAACATTCGTTAATTATTACCTGACAGATTATGAGTAGTGAGAGTAGCAGCAACACAACCCAAATTGCAGAACTTAAGGTTGATGTTGCCGCTCTTCGAACTCAAGGTGCCAGTTTCAATAGCAGGAGGATCTGTGAGAAAACAATTACTACCGCACCTAAAAGTGCATGCAATATCGAAAATACAAGTCCTCAAGCATCTCACGAAGCATTGCTGGTAGCTTGCACTTGATGGTTCCACCATTGCTCCCATCACCAACATTATCACCAAAAACATGGACTTGTAGCTCATTGTCACTCTTCCACTCTCCATGTTTTGTACTTCTTTTTCTATGCTCTTTTCTTCTTTGCCAAATGTTGTTGTTGTAAACTTTTTGTTGGTGTGTACATCTTGCAATGAGATGGAGAGTATATATACCCACTTTGTAACGTGTTGTATTTAGTGCGTGAATTTAAGTGGTTATATAATTTGTGGGAGACAAAAAAAAAATGAGGCAGATATAGGGAAATAAGATTACTGTTTTATTCTGTTCCTTATCAGAATATTTAGTAATAAGTATACCAATTTAGGATCTTTTAAGATTTTTTCCATGTTGATGTAACTACAAGAGCTTATTGTTTGGGATCTTGGAATATTTTCTACCACAGATGGTAACATTTATAAATTCCACTCGGCTGGTTTTGTCTATCCTAAAGTACAAGGACATTTGCTACACATAATTTGAAGTTTGACTTGTAATTTACTGATGTGGTTGTAAAATTTGGCTACAAACCGTTTTGGTAGACTGATATCAGTAAATGTATCATGCACGTATTCGTATATATAGAGCTTGAGATTTATATATTATATTGACATGTTAATCTATCATTTGAATACAATATCCTATATACGATTACTCGAGGTTTTGATACAATTTTTATTTTTTTATTTTTATAAGGACGACGATTGTTAGCCTAAAGAATTAATCTAATGTGTAATGATGTTTGTCTCCCATTACCATTAAGCCAATCTCTTAAAGTTGAATACCATATCATATCAAAAGTAAAAGAGAATTGATCTAAGGGGTCGTTTGCTTTAGGGTTTTGGTGATGGATTTGATCATGGAAATATATCCATCATGGACTTGAACCGAAATCCATCGTTTGTCTTAGGGAATTAGGGAGATGGAATTTGTGGGGCCCACCACTTTTGGGGTTCCAAATCCGTGGACCCCACGGACTTAGAAGTTCCACCTCTTGAGGTGGGATTTGGGTGATGGATTAAAATCCATGATGGTAAATTACCTTTCTACCCTTAATTATTTCTTTTATTACAAATTTGTCCTACTTTAATTCAATGGTCATGCAACTGTAAACTTTTATAATTTCGTATTTTATAAATATGAGAATTTATCATTTCATTTTGTAATATCGTATTTTATTTAAATATGAATGTATATGTGATTTGTTAGATTCACCTAGAAACACTTTATGCTCATCTTGTACATTATTATTTGATTGATTGTCGGATTCCACATCGGTGAGTTAGCAAGAAGATGATGAGTTGTAGCAATAAAGCGAGCAATTGGCTGCAATTGATACATAATATTGCGTACATTATTAGATGAATTGTTTTTTTTATGAAGGATTATTAGATGAATTTTTAATTAGTGCCAAGATGAATTGTTAATTAGTGCCATATTCTAATACATTTCTATATTTGTAGTTGAATTATTAATCCACATAGTGGTAAAGATTTTAAAATTTCTTTCTATGTTTTGGATTAGTTTTAAATGAAAGATTTGGATTATAATATAGAAATATAATTAAATAAGGGTAACTAGGTAATTTGTATTTAATATCCACAAATCTAATCAAAGAAAGTCCATAATCAAATCCATCAAGCAAACAATAGACTTGTTCAAATCCATAATGCCACCAAATCCATCATATATCCATGGTTTTCCAAAACCCAGGTTTTACCAAAACCCTCATTTTTCAAATCCATGAAGCAAACGACCCGTAAATAACCGACGGGGAACACATCAAAATAAAAGGAAAAATCTGAACATATATAATTTTCTGGTGGAGTATTTTATTTCTTCCAGTCTTGTGTTCGTGCATCAACATTGTTTTATTTTTTTAATTTTGGAAATTTTGAAAATGAAATGAATTTTAAACATAACATTAGATGGATAGGTCGTAGCTCCACTGTTTTTCATGCACCCGGCTTGTTTGAGTCTCGAACCATATATGTCCACTAGACTACACGATTTAAGATTTTAAGTCATAAACACAAGACAACGTAGCAAGATTTCATTTAAATGGTATAATTGTATTTTATTCAAGAACTGTGAAAACATACACAATTTAAGTTATAGCACTAAAAATAACATACCTAATATAAGATTTTTTTCGGTCAGACGGTCGGTACTACTGCCGCCTGTCTGTGTGGTTTCGCAAAATACTGATTTTAATACGAGATCATATGTATTTTCTGGGTTTGTTTTTAAATGATACAATATGTAGTTTCACGTGCTGGAAAATGTTGAAATACAGTGATCAACCGAACTTTTTTTTTTGTGTGGAATCAACCGAACTATTAAGTAGGTCTCTTAATATATTGTACCAAATAATTATTCATGGTTTATTGACTCGCTCAATTGCAAAGAGCATCGATTTTATAACAATCATCTCTCAACCCTTCTCCGTGAATATCAATAAAACTATCTTGACACGACTAATGAATATCCAAAATGCTTCTGCTAGCCCAACAATTAGTGTATAAGATTACCGCAATAACTCATCAACAAAGTTACACCCATAATCGAGTCGCTGTAATTTTTTCGCTAATAATAATCAATAAACAAAGACTTCATCAACTGTGATATTAAAAAGTTTCAGAAAAGAGAGCTAATTAAGCAAATTACACCAAGTTTTTCCTATAGCTACAAAGAATCCAGTTTGAAATTTTACTTAACACATATCAATGTCTCTAGTAATTTCTCAATGCAAAACTAAAGCTTCCTGGAGCAGGTGGATGAGCAACCATTCACCATCCTCTCTGCCACTTCCTCTGCTTCACCTTCACTCATAACCGCCAAAGCTGCCAACAAATCATCATAACAACTGAATCAGTTTAATTCATTACTTTATCAAAATACCTCAATAACAAAGGTCGTCAAAAGTTGATCACCCTAACATAAAAAACAATGAAACCTGTGATTACCCGACGGATCGCGAGCAATGAGAGCAGTAGCAAGGCATCCCAGATTGCAGAACTTAACGTTGTTGTTATCGTTGTTCTTATGATCGGTATGAATAGGGTCTGTGAGAAAACAGTTAGTGCCGCACCTGAAAGTGCAGGCAACATCGAAAATACAGGTCCTGAGGCATCTCACAAAGCACTGCTGGTAGCTTGCATTTGATGATTCCACCATCATTCCCATCACCAACATTATCAACAGAAGCATAGACTTGTAACCAATTGTCACTCTTCCACTCTCCATTGTCTTCTTCTTCTTCTTCTTCTTCTTCTTAGGATCAAGTTTTCCGCGTCGATGTAAAACCTGGAGTTTATTATTTTGGGATCTCAGGAATGTTCTCTAGCAAGCTGTATTTACATGGTAAATTTTCAAGTTTTCCGCGTCGATGTAAAACCTGGAGTTTATTATTTGGGATCTCAGGAATGTTCTCTAGCAAGCTGTATTTACATGGTAAATTTTAATTTTCACTCTTACGGATTCTTAACTAGGCCAGTTCTCAAGACACAATCTTCTCAAGATTGACTTGTGATTCACTAAACATTTAATTTTGGAGCTGTCAGGAGTTATGCACAGAAGATGTTTCCATCATTGGACGTACTAATACGACGCGAAAAAAAAAAACAAACAAATTTCTATCAACAATTCGAATTCTAAGACTATTACAACATGCTAACTCAATACGTTACAATATAAAGGTTTGGATATCAGCTGCAGAAAAGACCAGCATCTCCAACTCTCACACAAATTTCACCTTTTCCTCCCACAAATGCTAACCATCTATCTTTGGCAGATAAAAGTATCGCCCTGCTCCTTCAGTAAGGTTTGCATGTGGGAGAACGAAGCCTGGTGAACTAATTCGACTCGTGCAGGACTATCCTTCTAAAGACCCTTACTTTCGGTGAAAAACGGTCAGAGATGGCTTTCTGCTATAGATGGCATCAAGAAAAGGTTGCTTCTTTGCTCCGATTTTGTCCTTCAGGTCTTCCATACACGGATTGTGCTGTCCACGGATGCAGTCACCATGCAACTGTCCTTTGGATGGTAACTCACACTTGTTACCTGCCCCAAACAAAAAGAACGAACCATTGCGAAATGTAAAACACTCAAGGATCATAGTTGGGACTTGCACGCAGTGCCTGGACAAAATTGGGTCAGCACTAGACCAATTGATAGACTTGGACTGCATTGAAGTATATTTTGATTCTCAATTCAAGACTTTCCAACTCCATGGTTTCTCTTAAATGTAAAGGAAAAGACGAAATTTGAAACAAAACGAATCAAATGTATTTTCTGCTCTGATTCTAGTCCTCATCTTCCCTTTCATTTACAACCCGTTTCGATTTTGGATCGGATTGGACTATGACCACCCTATTATGCATAGACTCCCACGTTTTTCACCATACACTATCAGGAAAATGGAGAAAGCGAAATAGCAATGTCCATAATATCAAACAGTAAGGCCTAACATCTCATAAATGCTATTCAACACGAAGTCAACAACACCCCAGAGTACTTGCAATTGGAGATGAAAAGGTCCAGTTTTTTAACTATTCAAGGACACTTTCTTGAAATGTCAGTTGCAGTGAAGTCAAATAGAATTAAGCAGAATAATCATACCACTGAAGCATGTGCTCTGAACCTTGAAACCACAGTCGCATCCACAAGATCCCAGAAATATATATACCCATCCTCCGATCCACCAGTTATGTGGGCATCCGTATTTGTAAGGCAGCAGTCTAACTTGAAAGACTACACTCAAAGAACAGAGAGAAATCAGCATAAATTCCTAAAAGTTCGAGTAACAAAGGGCTGAAGCTTAACTTAACACACTTACTCGACAAGTATGCCCTTTATATTCTTGCAAGAGCTCGCCCATCGTTCTAAAACAACACAAACCAAAGCATAAGAACAAGAAAAAGATCAAAGTGAACCCAAACAAGCACTTCTGGTAACACTTACCTGTCCAAAAGGCGCAAGGTGGAATCCAAGCAACTAGCTAATATGCAGTTACCATCATTTGACAAAGATATACAGTTAACAGGTTGCCCCAAATTGTCCGAAATTTCTCTACATGACAAAAGAAACTGAATATGGTATTGAGACATTTCATAAGATTCAACAAAAGAAACAAAACTTCAAAATCAGAAATTTCGAGCAATGGAAAATGCAGGTCTTTTTACACTTCTCTCAGCACCACTCACCTCCCAACTCGAATGTCAAACGTTCTAACCGTACCATCGACACTCCCAGCAATGATCTCGGTTTTCGTCAAGCAAACCGACATCACACTATCGGCGAACGTGTCAATGATCTGCCAAATGATAAACAGAAATCAACATTTGCAAATAAATAAAACAATGCTAGAAGTATAGAACTTGAAAATGGAGAAACAGGTAAATGGACCTGAATAGGCTCGGTACTGTGAGACCGGCAATCCCAACTGCGCAAGGATTGATCATATCCAGCTGATACCGCCACAGATGAATACTCATTGAACTTCACAGCATTCACCTAATCGCCCCAAACCCTAAATTTTTGGTAACTAATTCTCATGCTAAGCCAAATTGCAACTCCAATTGATCGCATCGCTCAAATTCGAATACTTCATTACCTCGCTTTCGTGCCCACGGAACTTTCTGATCACTCTACCGGTGGATACATCCCAATAGAACACCTGCCGATCGCCGCCGCAAGAAATCAGCTTGGAATTATCCCTGCCGCGAACAAAATTTTTTTATTTTATTTTATTTATTTTTTTTTTTTTTGGAGAGAAATCGGCGAGGGGAGAAGCGTACGGCGTGACGTGAACGTCGCGGACTTCCCGGCCGTGGGATTTGTAGGTCTTGATGTGGATGCCGCGGTGGGGATTCCAGAGGCGGATGGTTCGGTCCTTCCCGCAGCTCAGGCAATAGTTGCCGTCAGCGTTGAACCTCGCGGCCAGTACGGCGCCCTCATGACCTTTCAGCACGTTCGCTTCCTTCGTCGGTAGATCGGAGGCGCTCATCGTCTTCAAAAATATTCCCGTCGTCTTTCCTTCTTCTTATTTACTGACCTCTGCCTACAAATCGCCGGCGTCTGACTTCTCAGGCGGGAAAAGCTCGTAGCTTACTCCGCGTTGTGGGGTGGGCTTTCGACTTTTGGGTTTTTTTTCTTCTTCTTTCGGGTCCACTCAAATATTACGGGCTTATATTGGGCCCATTTTGTTCCCTAATCTAATCATATGCTTGGTGAATGGTGACTTATTCATGTACAGTTGATAAACCACAAAGATGTAATGTTTAGGGCCATGAGTTTAAAAATCTAGGGCGTTAAATAAAAGTTCAAATATATTTCGATTGCGAAATTCGATACTAAATGGGCGAGAGTACTCCAACAGCCTCTTTTAGGGAGGAAAATGAAACGATTCATCTTCAATTCTTAAATAGAGGTTAACTGATGTGATCAGCCATGGCCAGTTCAAAAGGTTTTTCTTTAATAATCCAAATACAAAACACATTCAAACCACAACAACCAGCTAAAATGAAAAGCTCTAGTTTAGAGAGAGTTGGGTCTTGATCACCAGCTAATTCATGTCCAATCCCAGCCAAGATCATTACAAAGCAGTTCTCCGAATACTAAAATACCTCAAAGCAGCTCCATCAAGTGGCCTCTTCTTCTTAGCAACATCTTCCCTTATGCTGAAGGCCTTCAGTGACTCAGACTGGGCAGCTTGCATCGACACACGAAGATCAACAACAAGTTACTGTGTTTACCTTGGTGACTCTCTCATTTCATGGAAGAGTAAGAAGCAGACCACCATCTCTCGGTCTTCTTGTGAAACAGAATACAGAGCCCTTGCTCATACGAGCTGCAAACTTCAATGGATTCTTTATCTCCTTCAAGATTTGCAAATTGCTCATCCCCAACCAACAATGCCTTATTGCGACTACCAATCTGCGATTTCTATCGCTGAAAATCTAACATTCCATGAAAGGACCAAGCAAGCATATCGAGCTTGATCCTCTCCAACGTCATCTCCTCTCCAAACTCGGTGTGCTAAATATCTGCCCACCAGCTTGCCGGGGGGGGGGGGGGGTATCAGAGAAAACCCCTCATTTTTCTTCGCCATCTCTGGAAACAGAATCAACAGAGGAGGAGACAGGGCTCCAATGTTCAAACCTGTCGACCGTTAGAACGGAGACGACGCCGTATCCATCAAATTCAATCCAAGCATCAAACAAGACGACGATGCATCGCACCGGGAGCGTAGTGGTCTCTGGCAAATTACCAATCAAGTCCACAACTTCTTAATTTGCACTTTTTCCCTTTTCAAATTGTACTTTCTTAGGTCCCAAGCTTGTCTTCTTTCCTTGAACTGTAAACCACAAACCCTACATCATATAATCTGATTGATGAAGTGAAAATGAAAGTAAGCCAAATTTCCCAAAGCAAACCAAGTGTTAGAACAAAAGAGACCTGCGGGAGAAATTGAAGGGAGAGAGGACGCCTGAGGTATCTATGGCAGCCCAGCCAAATGCCTTCTGTGGGTGCTCTGTCTCTGGCAATTTTGCCATTTCTGCAGTCGGTGGCGGGTGCCTAGTTGTTTTCTTTCCTTCCTCGAGATCTTCGGGATTGGGAATCTGGAGAGAGCGTCGGTTAAATAGATGGCAGGAAAGGGGAGTTAGTGGTGAGGCTGAAGAAGAGTGTAAGTGAAATATTTTTCTTGCCTTTTTGTTCCCCCCCCCCCCCCCCACCCACACTTTTGGCAACTACTTGATTAATTAGCTCTCAATCTTAAGTTACCTTATTAAAAAATTTATATTTTTGTTTATGTTCCAACTTGTGAAATGTAAATGAGTAAGAAAATTCTGATAATCATATATGGTTAGTGAGAAGAACCAGTCTTTTCATCTCTTACGCTGGAAAGTAAGTTTGAAACTTTACGAATATAAATTATATACAACGAGAAGTAGTACGTTGTCGGTGGACAAAATGATGTGCAAGGAACCAATATATCCTAACAATACTATATGGAGTTTCTCCTTCAGAGCCCCATCAACTCCAATTTTGCTGCCTCCTGCGCATAGCACGAAGGGATCCTTGAGTAATTTTCATCGCTGGAAGTTTTGTGCGGCAGGAGGATTCAGTTCCATAAATGGGCCAGTCCCAATAGCTGTGAGTTTTGTTGCGGCAAGAGATGAGGTTTTAGTTACATACCAGGCCCAATGGCCAATGTCCCCCTATTTTTTTCGTTTTTTCTCTTCTGCATTATATATCATCGTTAGTAAATTCTGGTACGGCTAATTTACGTATAAAATATATATGGGTATTTTATATGATTACTAAAATAATGGTACGTTTAATAGTATGTCAATAGTAATAGAATATATAAAATTAATTAGTTATTAAAAAATATATAAACAATTTTAAGTTTATATTAATTCATTAAATACATATATTAAACGTGTTATACGAGGTTTATACCTGTTTAGTATGTGAGGCATCAAATGAACGGTAAAAAGTGATTTCACAATAATACGAATACCAAAATTTTAAGTACATCTATATATACATGTATTAAACGAAGTATTTACTAACTATGTATATACCCACAAAGTGACGTATTAAAAATGCAAATTAATAGGCTCCACCACAAAAACACCACTCGACCCACTTTAAGGATGGGAATGCATTCTACAAATATTTTAATCCTGCAAATCCTAACATTAATATAAAGAGGTCTCCATAAAAGATGGTTAATTCTAAATGTTCAGCCTTTTGAATAAATTTAGGAAGAACATATTTGTCTTTTAATTAATAAAAAAACAACAGAATTGTTAGTTATACGAACAATGAAGTGGTTAGAAAAACTATGTTAGTTGAAACTTGCCAAAGAAAGGTTGAAGAAGACTATGATGAGTAATTTTTTAAGAATTATACAACAAAATCAAAGACAATAGTAGTTAGGTAATAATCTACCTCTACGCTTCTATTGTTTTTAACTTCAAGTTCATTCATTAGAGAGAAAACAACGTACCTACGATATCCTAAAGTTTTTGAAAAAATATATCTCAATTGATCAATCCAACTTTATTATTCTGTATTGCGAGGAAGCTAGATTTTTTGGAATGTCTATTGAGAAACTACTCAAAGACAATGAGAAAATGAGAGAACCTTCGCCTCCTATACAATACATACCGAGCAGCATGGAGTTAAATTTTCATATCAAACTCACTGATTACAACATCGTGAACTCCATAAGTGGGTACAAAGTTTTAACTTTTGAAGATAATGAAGGTTGAAGAAGAACAATTTCAGACCAAGCTCATGACATCTACTAGGTAATTGAAGTTATTGAAAATGGACTTATCACATTTCAAAAAAATTTACATTAAGTGAAATGCACGAGAAGGAAGAGTATGTTAACAACAAAGGTAGTGAAGTTAGTGATGGAGATAACGACGTTATTAAGGTACAGTAAGATATTATAAATGGTGGATATAGAAAATATCTATATGGGAGGAAAGATAGGATGGTTAATATTTATGATTTTTTATATGAGGTAAAAATATACCATCGAGAAAAGATGTTTCACATTTTTGAACATTTTATCATTAAAATTTGGTTTTTGAATATTAAGTTTTTAGGAATCAGTTATATGCATGAGTTGTGTGTTTACTTTTTCATTAAAACCTTTTTTCCTTGAATGATCAATCAGTACGTTGTACAACTTATAATGTATGTTTTTTTATAAATATTTTTGGTAATAGAGTAATTTGGGTTGTCTCATTATACCAAATAAATTATTCAAATTATTACTAATATTGTTTATACTATTGATGTAATTCATCCGACTGACGGGCGGCCCAATTCTAGTAACTATGATTGCTATGCTAAGTAGGAGATGAGAAGAATGATGGAGATAAAAAAAACAATGAAATTGCGTTGTAGAGGAGATAAGAATGTATAGTAGAGGAAATAAGAAACGAATTGATCTGGTTGTCAACTCCAATTAAGCAACAACGTCGTTGTAGTATAGTGGTAAGTATTCCCGCCTGTCACGCGGGTGACCCGGGTTCGATCCCCGGCAACGGCGTTTTTTTTTCCTGCGCTCCCTTTTTTTTTGGCGGCAAAAGAATAGTGGGCCGTGATTAAAGGAAAGCAAAGTTAGAAGGCCTAAGCCCATCAAACATGGCTCTGACACCTAGCTTTGACTGCGTTGGGCCAAAATTGTAGAAGCCCATATTTCTCTCCGCCAACGCCTCTGCGTAAAAATTGTAATCCAACCTCGTCCCTTGACCTGTTGTCATTCTAGGTGGAATTGTTGACTTCTTGTGGTGTGTTTTTTGGCAAATATATTTCAAACAGTAATAACAAGATATGAGTATATAAACTGTGTTTGATCCGATCAAATTTTGGAAAATAAGAAAAAAGACATTAACCAATAAGTTGTTAAAATAATGATACGATAACTAATTTTATCACGATATGAACGGTTCTTTTGTATTTAGGCAATTGCATACACTAATTCATCCGCACATGAAGAACCAATGCCGCCCAACACTCCCTTCATACAGGTCACCAATCAAATGATGGCCAAATTGGCAAATTTTGATACCCTTAGCAAATCCATAACACGGAAGTTTGGCATAAGTAGGGCTAATACCACTACAACACCCGAACTATCGACAAAATGCCACTTGTGTCCTAAATTATTCAATATTCCATTTCTATCCTGAACTGGGATTGGTTATTGTCTCATTCGTTTAATGGTATGAAGAAGATTGGAACCCAAATCTAGTTTATTGTCTTTCGTTTATCGCGTTTTATCATAGTTTGTTAGTTTTATCGCAAGGAGGTTACGAGTAAAAAATTCTTCAATTCTGGGTCTCGTAACAGAATGCAGCGATAAGTGCCCTTTGAGCCCTCCTCCCCATAAACAACTCAAAGAAGATCCAGAAATTTAATTCACGAATCTTACTATATGAGTTACTGGTCCAATAACAATGTTCCTCATCTATACTACCTTTTTACCCGGCCCGTTGGTCGGATAGATTTATTTTATAATTTATATTAGTTAACTTCTTTATATGTTTAAATCATTTTGGATTTTCTAAATATTTGTGTTCTTGATTC